TGCCTTTTTCTCAAATTTCTTTACAATAAGCTGTTTCTGTCATCACTCCACTTATGGTGTTATTTTTAAGAAACGGGGGTTTGACAGGCCACAAATAGCCCCCATTTAACTCTCATTTACTAATTCGCTGTAATGTTGAATTAGGCATTCTACAGGCTTGGATCTGAAAGACAATGATATTATCTTTCCTGTAGCAGCCAAGAGACAAGATAAAGAAAGAGTGACTTTTCATCTCCTAGAAATGAGCTCTCAAGGTCTAAACACGACTGTCATCATTTTCCTCCCTGCAAGGCAAGCGTGGGGCAGGGACCCCTCGGCAGCCGGCGGCGGGCGCGTGATCGCRAGGAGCAGCTGGCGCTGCCGAAGCTGTTAGCTCAGCTGACAGCCTGATAGATGAGGAGTGCCCACAGAAAGGCAGCTTCCYGGGAGCCCAGCTAATTGCTCTGGTTGTGGCGCCCGCTCCCTCGCTGCTCTTTTCCCCGAGTACTCAAGGGTAAGCAAGCTGTACGTGTTGGTGAAACCCTTCGGGCCCCGGCGTGCAGGCGGCTGCTGCGTAGGCTTAGGCTAGAGCCTGAGCATGTAGGACTCGTGTACCCGAAAGCCTTAGTGAGATGTCCGGCGGGAAGCAGAGTCCAGTTGTTCTTTTTGCTGGTTACTGGGCTTGTTAGGAGTACAGGGCTGGAAATGAATTGTTCGTAYGAGGAGAGGCTGAGTGAGCTGGGCCTGTTTTCTCTGGAGAAGGGAAGGCTGAAAGGGGATATGATTAATGTGTATAAGCTCAGGAAGGGAGAATGCAGGGAGGAAGGGGACAGGCTGTTTTCATTGGTGGCCAGCGATAGGACAAGGGGTAATGGCCATAAGCTGAAACACAGAAAGTTCCATCTCCAGGTGAGGAGGAACTTCTTTCCTGTGAGGGTGACAGAGCAGTGGAACAGGCTGCCCAGGGAGGYTGTGGAGTCTCCTTCTCTGGAGGTCTTCAAAACCCGCCTGGATGCCGCCCTGTGCCACATGCTCTAGGTGTGCCTGCTTGAGCAGGAAGGTTGGACTAGATGATCTCTAGAGGTCCCTTCCAACCTTGAATATTCTGTGATTCTGTGATTCTGTTCTGAAGAACAGCAGAAAGATTAACAAAGTCAGCTTTCTTGTGGAACAAGCGTTTCTCCTYCTGTGCCCTGCCACCATAACCTGTCTCCACCTGAAGCATCCTATCTGACCTCAGTCCTCCCCATCACTATGTCCAGTTCTACCCTTTGAGCCCCTGATTCTCACCTGGCCTTCCTCCTCTCCGCAGCTGAGCACATGCTCTGCCTTTTCCTTGAAGTAGGTATGTGCCAAATGATGGGCTGCTGAGGGGCAGACCCACCTTCAGGAGCTGACCAGTCTTGTCCCAGCTACTCCTGCTCTGGCACTGCAGCCCTTCTCCCCGCTCAAGGACTCCTGCTTTGATCTCTTTCTTGTCCACATGCTGATTTTCAACAAGCTTTATGTCTTTCAGGTTCATAACTGCAGACCACCACACAATGTGGCCATACAAGCCTTGTTTCTGTAGGCCAAAATGCAGACTTCACCCATGTGATCTTTTCCTCCTGCATGTATAAGGTTGAAATTGAACGTGAGATTTAAATTTTGTGATTTAATTTTTTGTGAACATTAGTTTTAAAGCATGGTCTAGTTTTTTTTTTTTTAAAGTACCTCTTTTAGAAGGATGAAGTCAAATTCAAAGAACCTGTTAAAATGCTTTCAAGATACTTTCAAGTTTTACTGTCTGATTTTTACAATTCAGTTTATGGCCCAATTAAGGTCAATAGCAGGAACTTCTGGATGAATACAGTTCTGAACCACAAAGATATTTGAGCTGTTGGGCTGTGTCTAAACTTACATATGTGCATAAAGTCTATAAAAATATGCATTCATTTGTCTCTCCTTCAACACATATTCCTCTCCCAGACTATTGCAGTTGTAAATGTAAATGTTACAGACAATATTAACAATATGAATATTTTTCATTTTTTWAAAAAATTATTTATTTTCATCATCCTAACRATTTTACTTCTGAGATTTTTCTCTAGTGGGAAGGAGACAGATGTCAGCTATCTTGTCTGACTGTGTTTGGCTAAGACATTGCTTAAAATGGACAAGCTGAAATCCGTAGCTARGAACATAAGAAACGAAGGACAAAGCAAAAGGACCCGAACAGCCAAAAGGCAACAAGCATGCTGTGGTAGCTATGCCTGTAGACTTGTTCTTTAGAGGCATTCTATTCTGGAATAAAATCATTCTTATCTTGGAAAAAAATGTTCTATTTCRTTTTTTGGAATACTGATCTGGAATCAAACACCCACCTACCTGTTCCATTCCAGCTTGAATTATTCCATTCCAACTGCAATTACTAGTTGTCTATAACTGGATCTGTTTTACTTGGTCTCCACACAATTTTTGTTCAGCAGGGGAGCCATGCAGCCCATCTAATCAAATCACTAGGGAAAACAGATCACTTTCAAAAGCCTCAGTATWGTTGAAAATAGTTAAATACGGAAAAAGCTTTCTTATTCAGTCTGGTTATGTTGGCAAAGATTGTGAAGCCTTAGGAGAAAAAATACTTCTTTTTCCTTGGTCTGTCATGTTTGTGCCTGCTTATTTTATTGACAGCCCACCATGCCAGAAGAAGGAAATGATCAAGTGGGTTAAGAGACGTGACATTAGATTTATTGTGTGTGAGTGGTTTACATCATGTTTAAGTAATATTGCATGACAKACTCTTCTGTTACCAGGCACTTAATGAATTTGGGCAAGAGTTAACAAAAGTTAGTAACCAACTTGTAAAAGAACAGCATATCAACCGTATTTGTTGCTATAAATCAAATTAAGAATTTTTTTATGAGACAATCTGCATGTAATCAACAGGAAAAAGTGCAGCCATCTCGCTGAATAAGGATATTGTGCCTGCTCCAATTCAATTTTCTGACTCATGAGCAGAAAGCACAATCACTGGAGTACTGTTCATAAATACACTGAAATGGGATATTATCACTATATGACCTCAGAGGATTTGATGGATGCAAGGTATTTTTGAGAAAATGCCATGTACTGACGAGCCTAGGGTTGTGCTTATCTTTTTCAAGAATGCTGTCCAAACTCATATTTTCGAGGTGAAGGAATTGCTTGGAAAAAAAATGTCGGCTAAAAGCATGCATCTTTGAAAGATTTTTGCAAAATAATGGACTATAATTATGTTTTCAAGCTAGATTTTAGTCAAATGCGTACTATGCAAATGCATCTTATCGTGTTTCATGTACAAGCTGAAGTTAGAATTGCATCCTTTTTTGTGTATTGTAGAGCAAATAAGATATATCTGACAACAAGTCTGCTGACCCCACAGGGACTTTTCTACGGAGACAATGTGCCCTTGTCATTCATGGYTGTTGGTATGTTACTGCCTCTACCCGTGGGCACTGACTTCCTCCAGTCTTGACCTAGTCCACCACAAAAATAACTTTCTGCCTGCCTCTCTTACGGCCTACGAACACTTTTCTGCTCCAGAAAGCCATAGCCTAAATACTATATCCTGAGAAACCTCACATGTCCATTGACGTAGTTTGATACAGCATGGGCAAACAATGTTTTCCCTCAGAAGCTGCTATAATTGCAAGTCATGATGAGCCACAACCAGACTTATTTGGGTGGTTTAAATTCTAAATGAGTCCCATTCCTGCTTAAGGTAAAGAACTAGGGTTTCTATAAACTGAGAAGTTGGGAAGAAGTCCTTAGCTGGGAGCGTTGTAGCACTGGCCGTAAATAAATAAAGGACTGAGGCCAGCTGAAAATGGCCTAGTGCTTTTAAAATGTGAGAAAAAAAATCAGACATCACTCTATCAGATGTTATTAGTTATACTAGAAATTGGCTGCATCGCCATTACTTTTCAGGCTAATCTATTAAGATGTTATATCTAAAATGAGATTTTTACATGACAGATATATCTCACAAAATGCAATGTTTGTTTATGTGTCAAGTCCTATCAACCTAAGTGGTTAAAACTACTTGAATTGAAATGTTATCGCAAGTAGTACAGTGGAGGAGACATTGCTAATTATTCATAATTCAAAGCTGTAACATGTCTGAACACACTGCTTTCAGCAAGAAGTTAATTAACAGTTTGGTGTGGACTGTGTAGAATGGTATCAACAGTAAGCATGCAAGTTTGCATCTGAAGGCATTTATAGAGGTTTGCTTTTTKTAAAGATTCATTAGTCTGACCTGAGAGACAGTCAGGTAGCTGACACTCTATGCATGGAAATAGCTGGAGATGGATGATACTTTGGCCAGAAAATATCCTTAATATTTTCTTCTAGGCATTACAGTCYGAAGCGTTTAGAACTAAATCAAGGGTACATTTGTTTTAAGTATTCTGCAGAACAAAAGAGAACATATTAATATTGATATAAGGGTTGAAGATAGGAATTATTTTTTCAGTATCAACAGGTGCATTTTTTTCTCTCTTCCTCTGTACCTTGCAATTTGGCAAAATTTCAGAAGCAGACTGCTTAGTTTTTTGTAAACACTTCACCTATCATAAATACTATCAAAGAGTATCATACATGCTTCTAATTTTTGGTKATTCATAGCTCACTTCTTTTCTACCTTTCAATAGCAATATATCTCTATTTCACATGAAACTATAGGGGTAAGGACAACACAGGCAGAACAGAGTGGAAAAGGCAACTCTGATTTCTCATTTAGAGGCTGTATAATGTGTCCAATTAAATTAAAATTCTTTGAAAATATTTGCTGTAACATCAAGATCCCATTTCTGAACTCTACTTAGTCTGTACTGGGTTGAGATCTGGACTGGATGCTTAACACAGTGAAAGACGTGAGGCAGGATAGTGCCTCAATTTTTTATTGTCATTAGTGGAACGAGGACAACCAGCTACAACACTATTTTTTCAATAGAGATGTTACTCCATGTCTCCTGAAGTGTAACTTTTTTTTTTTTCTTCTCTGTAGGTATGCCCTCTCTCCTCGTATTAGGATCAGAAGAATAGCTGTTGTAGGTTAAAGCAATTACTCTTTCTATTTTAGTATCTTGTCTCCAGCAGTGAGGAGCCCTCTAGATTGCTGCTTCAAAGGAAGCTGCACGAAACTATAGTGAGCAGATGCTGAATAAATTGACAAGAAGAAATTTCTTCCCTCTGACAACCACTAAAATACTGATATGTGCTCAGATGAAAGAGGGCATGTGTCCTTCCCAGTCATTTTTTCCCATTTCTGGTGATCTTGTACAATCAATCAGTTTCTGAACCCCCTTTGCCTCTTTCTGACAAGGATAACCAATGTTTTACTAAATAATTCAAAATGTTCCCCTTTCAACTACACGCGGATTTTTATGAAGCCTTAGAGTAACAGAATACTTTTTTTTCCAGAAGGAAAATACCTTGTATGACATTTTCATCACCTCCACTAGGAAGTTAACTAATAGAACTTCTGGCCTGCTACTTGACACTGTGGATATACAGACAACAAAACTCTGAGATGGAGAGACATGATTATCTAAAAYAGTTTATTAACAAAGTGGTATGCAGTTATAATTTACCTCTTATGTTGTTTTATATATATATATGCACTATTTCATGTTGCAGTATTACATTATTGGATTAAAATGAGCTATTAAATACATATTGTGTGTGCATAACCAGTATCTTTTTAATTACTGAACTATTGTTTTTAAGTCCTGTTCCTCTGACAGCAGTCAGTGCCTATGTAGTTCTGTTAATCCTCACACACATTTTTAAGCAGCAGCAGTGCTGTATCCAACTGTATATGCATGTACTAAGAAGGGTGCTTGCACATAAATCCTTTCCACAGGTGACCTAGGATCAGGTCAGATCTACTTATTAGTTAAGGACAGCAGCTTATGTGTCAGAGATCCATGGACACTGCTGGCCTGAACCAGCACAGGAGGGTGCTAAGGGCAGGACTGGCTAGGAAAGCTGTAATGGTTGAGATCTTCCACAGAGCAGACAGTAATGTTCYTTCAAACGACAGGCAGAATAGAAAAGTCTTACACATTGTGCTTTTTAATGTGTGGCTTATGTGTGACTTTCAGCACCATAGCAGAAAAACAGGAACTGACTAAACAGTTAAAGGCAAGATCTGTTACCAGGAAAACTGCTTTGAGAAAAGCATGTGGGAATTTGGGGAGCAGTGGAGTGATTTTCCAGTTTGATTCTAATTTCKGTCTGACAGGCTTGAGTCCTCCAGCTCTTTGCACTAAGCAGTGGCTAAGAACAGGTACATTTTAATATGAATAATCAATCTGTGTGATTAATAGATCTGTGTGAAGAAGGATAGCTATATAAAAATAGAAGGTAGATGTGGCAKGCCTAGTAGTAGTGAGATTATTGCACCAATATAGTTTTGAAAATACTGCTGAAGTTGTGTAAGTTATTGCCATTTTTAACATGATTTTGTGGTTCCACCATCTCGCCCTGATCASAACCACACTGGAAGTAAAGATGACTACAGACACGTTGCTGAGGCAYATAGATGTCCCTTACCCTAAGTGCCGTTATCCACAAGGCTCCTTCCTTAGGACTGAAAAACCTTGTTCCTGTCTTGTTCCCAACTCTGCTCCCACTGCTGCACAGACTAGCATGGATGTTGCCAGCTTCYTGCTCCTGGCAAATGAGCCTTGCCCTTCAGGAGCATCACTTTGTTAGCTTCATCCTGGATGCAGGAACAAGCAACGGCAAGGACACGGTGCTGATCCTTGGGAAGCAGACACTCACACTGGCAGGGAAGTGCAGAGGAGCACATCAGAGGTACGTGTCCTACTGCCACTGCCTACCAGATATTGATACCAAGGGGTGAGAATTTGGGAGGCGGAGATGAATCCTGGGCAGACACCAACACTTGTAACAATTTTTAATGCTGAAGTTATGGCAGGTGAACTATGATATCTAGTCTTCAAATATTCCTGATATCTTGTGATAAATGTAGGCTTCCATAAAAATGAAATAAGATTCAAGCTTCAAACTTTAAAATGTGTTTCAGAAGACCATTTGTTTTTAGAGTGTGCTTTTATAGCTTTGGTTATAAAAGTTACAAAACTTTTGGCACCATCAAGTGGTAGAACGGTGTACTGCTTAGGTGGCACAACAGTCATGGCAATGATTTAAAACAAAAACAAAAAAGAAAAACAAAAACAACAACAAAAAAGTATGTATAGTTCCATATGCTCCATATTACAAATATGCTTTAAGAACTAATGCCAGTTCTGTTTACTCAGTTTTGAATATGTTTCCCTGAGGTTATTTGAATAAATTTCTGAGTTTTTTTCTCATGAAAAGCATCCGATTTAAATGCTTGTATTTCTAGCAAATCTAACTTGGTCAAGCTGAAATATGTCATAGCACTCACTATGAAGAATCGATATTTTTCAGTCTAAAATACTGAGATTTATGTTTTTAAATGAAATGAACATGGCAATAACATTCATTTCAGGATAAAAGATGGTATATAGACTTTCCTATTATTCTGCGTTCTTTGTGATGCCTTAAAAATGCAAGATCYGTAAAAGAGGATCAGAACTAGTAATCTGCATGATCATTGCTCTTGCTTGGCTTTTCCCTAGTGAAATGYGCTTGAATGAGGAAAGCTCTGTTCCTGCTTACCCATGGAAAAGGGAGCTTGCAAAGGAGATAATCATAAGCAGACAAAGCAAGTAGAAATGGAATATGGGATTCAAGACAATRTAATTAATTTGGCTCAGAAACTGTAACAGCAGCACAGTTGCTCGCTAGGCCAAACCCAGTTCTGCAATCTGAAGAGATTTTTAAATTATGCAGTAATCATGCATCACTTCAATTAGCACCAGACTAGCTACAGACAGCAATTAATGTATGCATAACTTGATTAAAGAAATAATTGACCTACCTGTGGGGTAAAATGATCTATAATTATCCTGGCTGTTTGTTACATAAATGTTTGTAATTTTACCAGTGTGTGCTTATCAAATACGAATAGAAAAGACCTTTTGGGCAAGAGAAAAGAAAGAAAAAAGAAACTCGCTTCCATTAAGATATTCTTTTTACTATTTAGAAATGCAGTCTAGTGACTTTACTGGAGGAGATGACACAAGCGATGCGAAGGAAGAGGCAGAGAGACGGAAAGATCTCTCGGAAGGAAATGCAAATACTTTGTGCCTGGCAGGAATTAGAAGAGCAACAAACCAACCTGAGTAACAGTGAATGGGAAATCCTCATAGCACAGTCAGAGGTATTTGCGCTGTTATCACTGAATAACTCAAAGCATTTGTTTTGATTGACTCCTCATGTTTATCTGAGAAGAAATACCTGACACAGAAAACATTTATACACTTTGCTGACGATGGAGTTTGGCTTATCAGATCAGAAAAGAATTACTGTGACAGTTTAGATTCCTGTTCTTTAAATCTACTCCTCAGAGGAAAWCTTAAATCTCTACTCTTTGTTGGAAATCGGTGCCAACTAAGTCTAGGATTCTGGTAATGTGAGGCAGAGAGTGTATGCAAACTCCTGTAAGCTCTTTGGAAGCTACAGAGCTCAGTATCTTACTAAGTCCATAACTTATAACATAATGCTCTCCATATATCCCCTGCAGTTTCAAAGAGAGGCAGGAAAAATTGGAAGGATCTTGAGTGACAACTTGATCAAAAGTTAAGAAATTACATGCAAAAAAAACAAAACAAAAAAAAAAAAAGTCAACTGAAAGTTGTCCTTTTAAGTAACTGATGCACTTGACTACAATAGATCAGTGTCAGGAAAGGAAAATCTGTTCAGAGAGACACATGCAAAGTTAGGCTGAAGATGGAGAATGCTATAGAAAAGACAGGGAGAGGACTTTCATTAATCTGGTGGCAAAGACCAGGACTATAGCCCAACATTAATATAATAGTATGTGCTTGATGTCATACAAGTTTATAAGACAAAACCTTCTTGCTTTTYCTTTTTGGTAAATCATGAAGTGAAAACTGTTTTAATATGTATATAKTCTTTTTTCTTTGGATAGCAAATGCAGTTGCAATAGAATTAAAGCCCAAGATAGCTTCTTATTAAACAGATAAAATCCAGAGTAGTATAAAATAAAGGAGCAAAAATGCAAATAAACCTATGATTAATTAAGTTGTCAGTCCCTTTGTTCATTAGAAAGGTTGACGCTTCTAAAAATAGGTAGAGGTACACAAAAACCCTCTCTCAATTTGCCTTGGTGTCAGATGCTGGAATCTTGAATAGCAATGCAAAGGATGTAATCCATAATAAAAGGTACTTTGTAATGACTAATTAAGACCACAGCCTGCAAGGGTATCTCTTTTAGAAGTATTATAGAATAAAGCAGTAGATATATTTCAAAGAACACTGGGACAAAGACAAGAACAGTATCTTTTGCTGAATTTTATTATTAATAAATACATACGTTATAGAACTGATTTTAGGATAGCATTGGACTAAGCTCAGGCTGTGCAKTCTTTCAGGCAAAGGTCAGATTTACCTCATTCTGCCAGATGGAACAGTTCTGATATGTGTGTAAYTTTCAAGGTCTTCAGAAAGGATATATAAAAAATGATCCTTTGTATAATTCTTTTGTGGGGTTCATTCCCTTGTASAGGCCTCAGACACTTGTCGTAACGGAATGACTGGTGGTCGTGTGCGCTGCCACCCTCCACAATTCAGCGCTTAATGGAGACGAGCGCGCGTTGCAGCAGGCCTGGCTGTCGGCAGGGGACGGACCTGGGACGAGGCAGCAGCTCTCCTCACACAGAGGTGGGCGAGCTCCACGCACCCCAGACACGTCCAAAAGAGGAGCCAAGGCRCCAGGGTGACACTCGGAGGTGTCCTGCCCCTGAGCTCGCGTTACTTTACTCGCACCTTACTCGCTGGTGCTCTCCGTGYGCTGCGGCCTGCGGCCATGTGAGCTGCAGCATGGGCTGACCGCGCCAAAAGACAAGCTGCTTTTCATGTCTGCKTTGGAAACCTCTTGCGAGCAGAATAGTGGCATGTGGCATTTCAGGCCAGCAGGAGGACTGTGTTTCGAAGACCACACATCCCTCTGCTTGAACCGCGCTAGTCTTGTAGCCCCATGAATTTGGGATTTTCAGTGCCAAGGGAGCATGTGGTGGTGTCACCTCCTAGTGCCCCACGGGGAAGAAAAAAAAATGGTTTAACAAGTAAGCTGATCACTTTAAGAGAAGCTGAAAAGCCCGCAGACATGCCAAAAAGGAAGACGTGGTTTGTGATTTCAGTTATATTTACTTATTAGGTCAAAACATAGCACCATTGGAGCTTTATTCTGTTTTTAGATGCTCATGATTAAGTGAAAGATGGAATCAGAGCATAGAACAGATTTTCAATATGCRAACTACCTTTTATACTAGAGTACTGGCATCCTGAATTAGTGGTGTGGTTTACAGGTATCTGGAAAATAAGCTGTCGTGCTGGTGTTATTTTCTGTAAGCTAAAACAATATGCAGAAAAACAAACAGCAGCAGAGCTGA